AACCTTCCGATGGTGTCCGAGATCAAAACTGGGAATAGGGGTGGATGTAGATGTAGGTAAAATCCCATTTTTATGGCTGTGTTAGCAACTGGCTCAGCTCCTGCACTCCTGTCCAAATTATCCTAAAAAATAGAATAAAAGATCAATATTCTCCATCCAGGTATTTCTTCAGGCATCTCATTCAATGTCTCCCTTGGAATCTCTTCCCAAGGCCATCAACATCTCACACATTTGCTCTGAAGAGCTGGTTCCAGGAATCTGAAAGCTGAGGGCTCATAATATAATAAAATAAATATAATAAATATAATATAATAAATATTATAAAATAAATATTATAATATAAATATTATAATATAATATAATATACCAGACCTCTCAAACTTAAATTCTTAAAAATTAGGCCCATATGGGCTCTAAGGAAGGGACACATTCTTCTGACTTTGCATGTTCTATCTGAACAGGACTTTGTAGCATATTTTTATATATATTTATTTATAATACATATAAATTACATATATATGTGATGTACTGATGTGCAGATGGAAAGGCTTAGAAGTCCAGGTACCTCTTTGTGCTCCAGTTTCAGCCTTTAGAGATCAAGCAGAACCAAGAGTTTATTAAAGGACATTAAGACATGCATTAAAAAATAAACATGTTTAAATGCTAGGCCACGTACCAGTATTATCATCAGAGACATCTTTTGTTTACATCAACAATGCAATTCCAGAAGGTGCTGCCCTGCCAATGACTGTCCTTCCCACCAGGTGTGAGTGTAAACAGAGCAGTCCAAGTGGATAAAGAGAGTTTCAAAGCACTGCTGCTGTCCCAGCCCCACAGCCCAGAACAGAGCCCAGTCCAGCTCAGAAAGGTAGGAAAGATCTGGATCCAAACCTAATCCCTCGGTTCAAACTCTCAGCCAAGCTGGATGTTATTCCCAAAGTTTTCAGCAACATGCCTGAATAGTCTGATCCATCACCTTAACTTCCCAGGAGGTGGATTTTGGGTAATTATGGTGCAGGAAAAAAAATGTTGTGATGCAAAACAACAGCAATGGAAATTACTAATCTTTTTACAAGTGCACTTTTAGAAGTCACTAAACAAGCATTCCCTTGTTATTTTTTTTACCTCTAATTGCCAATTACAGGAGAAAAAGCCTTCAGAAGACAAGGATGAAGAAGCTGCAGCAAATGAAGTGAACTCAGATGCTCAGAGAGCAGAAAATCAATCAACCAAGAGAACACAGATGCCAAAAACTTCCACCAGAGGTATGTTTTATAACCTGACTCACAGACTCTTCTGATCTTCTCAAATTACCAGTGGTGTTGGTGGTTTTGCTGGCACCTGGCTGACAGGAGCTGGTTCCAAATGATGCACTCAGGTGGTGTCACACAGAGCAGAGCAGCTCTGCAGGGTCCAACACCTCCATCCTGCTGCTCTCCCAAAAGCACTTCCTGCTCAGGTTGGTAAAAAAATTCACTGCTTTATCTGTAAAAGTACAACTGAGAGCTGTTCACTCCCCACTAATCAAACCCTGATCTCGAGTTCTGGTTGTGAATCTTCGTGCCAGCTGATGGGAATGTGTATTCCTGGGGCTGGGAAAGGGAAAGGACTTCAAGGGCTGGGAGTTTCTCCTCGTTACAGTGATCACTGTAAATTGATTTTATGCAAATTCTCATGTAAAAGTTACTTGCAAGGGACTCACCACAAACACCTTTATTTTGAAGTAATTCAACAGAACAGAGGAAAGAAGAAGCCACCAGTGCTCTCGTTCCTCTGTCCAAGTTTTCTTTTCTGGGCTGTGCTAATTCCTGTGCTCTGGGCTCTGCCTTTTTAGCCTCCAGCCCTTCCAGACCCCACCAGGTACCCAAAGCCACAATTTGCCTTTCAAATTCCATTTTAAAGCTGGCAGAAAACAGTTCCTCTCCCTGCTGCTTTCAGACCTTCCTACTGAAGCCCTACTCAGCTTGTTGCTGTGTATTCTGCTCCACAAGCAACCCTGTTGTGAATTAAGGGAAGGAAATTCCCACACATATCAAAGTTCCACTCAAATGCAAGAACAGGACAATTAGAGTTCAGCTCTCACACGGTTGTTGCATTGTACATGACTTTTCTGGCCCTACATTTAGGAATTACTGATGATATTTGCAACTAAATTCATTTAATGAGATTAAACATCGTGAAAAAGGTAAAAATTAAGCCATTAACCTGCTTTCAGTGGCACAATGACCTTGGTTTAATCTTGCCCCATCCTGTTGGGTTTATTATAAAGAGCATTGTCAGAACCCCAAGACTGAAGTACCATCACTAACAACTAAAGCAGTGAAATAAGGATGTGAAACTTGCTCTCATTAATGTTCCCTGGGCCTTTTACATTCCTAAACCCCCAAATATTTAATTTTAGAGTACTTAAGGGAGGGCAGGCCACTGATGGGAGAACACACTTTTTCAGGGCTTAAGAAAGAAAAGGAAAAATACAGAGAATTCCTCAAACAGGAGTGGGAAAACTTCCTGGGAACTGAACCAGGCCCTCAAAGTGACGGTGGAAAAGACAACAATCAAGAGGGAGATGCAGTGGGAGAACCTGGAAAGGGAGAAAAGGCGGGAGAAGAGCAGATGAAGGGCGGGAAGGAAGGGAGTGACGGTGCAATCCCCAACAAAACACCCGCCAGGCCGAGGAAAAAATACACCTTCTCAGAGGCCATTGAGAATCTGCACCAGGGGCTCCACACCTCAGGGAGGAGACCCAGAGCAGGCAGGAAGGGCCAGGCAGGGCAGGGCTGCACCAACACAGCTCATTCCAGAGGGCAGAATTCCTTTGGGATCCACGAGCCCAAACCCTTTGGTAAGGACGCCAAGCCCAGGCAGGAGGACGGAGCGGAAGGAGCTGCCCACGGGGCGTTTGCCCAGAGGAAAAAACAGCTCATGGAAGAACTGTTTGGAGCAGGAGCTGCTCAGGGAGACAACCCTTGGGGTTCCAAAGGGAGAGGAGCCAAGTGCAAGGATGCAGGATGAGCCACGGGCCAAATCCCAAACCTCCACGGAGAGCTCGTCACGGGAAGCGCCCAACGCGACCCAACTGCTGAGGACACACCGAGTGTTTCTGACACCTGGGCAAGGACAGCAACTGATATTCAAAAAACTTCAACATCTAACATGTAGAATTGTTAAATGTTAAAACCAAGTGTTTTCCCTTCATTAAATGTGTGTTAAATCTCACAGGCACTGGCAGTTCCTTTCCCTGATTTTTCCGCCACGACACTCAAAACATCGTCCCAGAACCTTCTGCTGCTCTTGGTCTGTGTGTTGTAAATGCATCACACTGAGAGTTCCTTAACTTTTTCACCTGCTAGCACATGTCCAAGTCATCCCTTGTTTGGGAACTTCCACACTTTTGCATCCTCAAGCAGCAGGAATTTGGGAGCTCACGACAAACCCGCTTTCCTGAGGTTCATCTCGGGTTGGCACTGACATCTCAACCAAAGAAAACACTTCTTGATTTCCTCCCCTCCCCAAACAGCTTCCAGAACTCACATGCAACCAAAATAATTTACCATCCCATTGTTTTCCCGGGCATCAGAAACCTCCAAAGGCTCGTTCTTTCCCACTGTTCCCAACTTATCAAAGCACTTTGCCTGGTAACTTCCCCAGCTGACATCCAGAGATGAATGTGCCAGAGTAGGACTATTGTTTGGGAGAAGTCAGGCATGGGCAGCTCCCAAAAAGCCTTTCAAAATCTCCTGTGGAAGGTTATGTAAGCCAGGGCAGGAGGATTGTGGTTTGCTCCTCACAGGAATTCACAGAACACTTGCAAAAAAGGATGTGAAATTAGGAAAAACTGGGTGCATTCTGGTAGTTTTTAAAGGGCAGCAGCAGTTGAAAAATTACAATTCTAAAATTACACTGCAAAAGCTCTTAAAGATGACCGAGATATTCAGAGCTGAACCTGCTGTCAAAGTTCAAATGTTTCAAAAAAAGAAATTAGTCCTGTTGACTCCAGCCCTATTTTCTTACGCAAAAACACAGGTGGAGGGGTTGTTTTGGTTTGGATTTTGGTGGGTTTGGGTTTGTTTTGTCTTTTTTTGATGGTTTTTTGTTTGGTTGGTTTTTGTTTGGTTGGTTAGTTTTTTTTTTTTTTTTTTTTTTAAGAAAATTGCACTAAACATTAAAAAAAGAGATGAGGAAACCTGAGATGGCTTGAAAAGCTTTATTTCCTTAATAAAAACCATAATAATACATAACATTCAATCACAACATTTTTTTTATCCTTGATACTTAATGTATCTATTTTTCTCGTTAGCCCAATGTAACTCTGAATATAAACCCCCAATTTTTAAATTAACAAAAAAAAAAACAAACACAAACATTTCATCCATATATACAGACACAAAATAACATGACCTTTTGACCTGATTTCTAAAGGCAGTGCTAATTTTGGAGGGGTCCTGGCCCCAAAAAAGACCTGGAATAACAAAAGAGATGCATTTCCACTGTGGGAATTCCAGAGTGGGAAGTTAAATCAGGATCACCTCTGCAGGGAACAGCATTTTCTACTCTATTAAAAATGGAGCTTGAGAAGTTTGGTCAGATCTTCCCTCCCAAAACATGGAAGGAAAGAGTTGCAGTGAAACATGGAATGAAATAATTTCAGTGATCCTGTTTGGGAAGCAGAAAAAAAACAAGGAAGGAAAGGTCAATTATCAATAAAACCAGGAAAAAAAAAAAAACAACCAGTGAATTTTAAAAGTCAGGGAGAAAAAGTATCCAGCAATCCTGTGCTTGGCTAAGGGAGTCTTTAATAGACATAAAAATTGATTGAACTCATCTACCAATAGCTCATTTTTTTAGGAGACCCCAGGAATATCCCAATTTTAGGGATATTCCCAGCTTAAATTCCAAATTTACCCCTTTCTGAGAAACCCAAGGGAACACTGACTGATATCCAACCGGAATAACGAGGATTGTCTCCAGTCTCATGGAAAACAACTGTCCCTTTTTTTAAAAAATTAATTTAAAATAGGGAAAATGTTGAAAATGCAGTGGAGGATCCCGAGGATTCCCAGGATTCCTTCAGCTGAAAGGGTGTAACATGATGGCCACAACTTTATTGCAGACCACGAGCCAGCAGGTGATTCCAACCCCACCTGGAAAAGACAACAAATTCACAGCAAACGTGAGAACACAGTACATTTTGGGTGATTTCAGACATTTTTGTGAATTTAAGAATTCAACAGTGATCTCTTTATAAACCAGGACAAAAGATTTGAAAGTAGACACAACACTTTTTAATTCCCTCCCAAAACTATTCAATAAAAGCCTTCCAAGGACTATTCCCTCCCCCTGGGGCAGATTGCTCTTGTCACGGATGCAAACACACAATTCCACCAACATATATTGGAATTCCTCCAAAGGCAGGCAGGATTTAGGAGCCAAATATGAAGATTCACCCCTTTACCCCTCAGGACAGGCAGCTACAACCTGTTCCCCTGTTCTGATTGTTCACTTGTTAAACTGGCCAAAAGAAAAGGGGTTTAAGTGGGTAAAAATGCAGCAGAAACACTTCCAGGGATCCAGGGGCAGCCACAGCTTCTCTGGGGGGCCTCCCCACCCTCACAGGGCACAACCACTCTGGAGTTACTGCTGTGAAACCTCAGCAATTTACCTCAAAAACAGGTAAGACATACCCACATCTACAAAGTATTCACCCATTTTTAAAGCCAATTCTAGCATTTCAGTGGACTCCTGAATATAAAAATCTCTCCCATTTAAATCTTCCATTCAACACCGACAAAGAGATAAAGCTGCTGCTTGAAAACGAATAAAAAGGACAAAAAAAAAAAGCCCATTTTGGTTTCCAGTTTGGACAAACAAGATCTGAACAGAGAGGGCACAGCTGATGAGGGAGTCGGAATGAAGGGGGGGCACCAAGCACTGCTGTTAATCCACAGGAGAGCTTGGGAATGTCCTTTTCCTTACCTGCCACCCCTGTAGGGAAGGCCACCAACCTCTCCAGGGGAGCCAACCATTTACTTGGCAGCACAGTCACTGGCTCAGAGTAGTACTTCCAAATCAGGGAGATCATCAGGGCAGCCTGCAAGGGAAACTTTTGTGAGCCTGGGGAATGACACACATCAAAGTGCATTCGTGACGCTGCTCTGAAACGGCAAATGATAAATTCTAATTAAAGGCAGTCGTTTCTTTGTTATTTTATCTGGTTCTTAAGCAAGTTCAAGGCATTTTTAAACCCTGCATGAGCTTAAATTCGTGCACAGCCTTAAGAGGCAGCAGCAGAACTTCCCTGGACCTGGTGCAACATTTAAAATTAATGAAAAAAAACCCCAATGGTTAAAGAGCCAGGACAGACTCCTGTCCTGTCACCCCAAAAGCAGAGACACAAAACTCCTTTCATCCTCAACTCCCACACTTTATCAGCACCATCTTCCATTTCCAGTTCAAGAAACTCTCTCCACTTGGCATGCACTGTGTTGTTGGAATCATAATCATGGAACGGGTTGGGTTGGAAGGGGACCTTAAGAATCATCTTGTTCCAATCCCTGCCATGGGCAGGGACACCTTCCACCAGCCCAGGGTGCTCCAAGCCCCGTCCAAGCTGGCCTTGGACACTTCCAGGGATCCAGGGGCAGCCACAGCTTCTCTGGGCAACCTGTGCCAGGATCTGACCAACCCTCACAGGGAAGAATTTCTTCCTAATATCCAATCCAATCCTGCTCTCTGCCAGTTTGAAGCCATTCCCCTTTTCCTGTCACTACAGGCCCTTGGAAATAGTCTCTCTCCATATTTTCTTTAGGCTCCCTTCAGGCCCTTCAAGGCCACACTCAGGTCCCCCCAAAGCTTCTCTTGTCCAGCTGAACAATCCCAGCTATGACAGCCTTTCCTCCCAGCAGAGCTGCTCCAGCCCTGGGATCCTCTTGGTGCCTCCTCTGGCCTCTCTCCAGCAGCTCCATGTGCTCCCTGTGACCTCTCATCAGCCAACAAATGCAGGAGACAATTGTAACGCTGTTGAGGGTTGGGTTTAGTTTGTATTCATAACAAAATATTTACTTACCTGTAAGATGTAGAACACAATGTTTATAACCCACTTTATTTTGGCTAATTGGGCAGTTCGTGCTTTCACTGTTAAAGAAAAAAAAATTACTCTGTGATTATTTAGAATGTTGAATTATCCTTACATAGAATTAGCAATTTATTAATATCTCACTCAAGTCAGGACATTACACTGCTTAAATATCTTTTTTTTCCCACAATGATTCATTGCTATATTGAAAACACCCTTCTGCAAAGGAACTTCTAAGTTCAGATCACACCTTGACCTAACTCAGGACATGATTCAGTGAACACAATCACTGAGAAGGAAGGAAGGAAAGAAAAGAGAGAAAGAAAAAAGAGAAAGAAAAAAAAAGAAAGAAAGAAGAAAGAAAGAAAAGAAAAAGAAAGAAAGAAAGAAAGAAAGAAAGAAAGAAAGAAAGAAAGAAAGAAAGAAAGAAAGAAAGAAAGAAAGAAAGAAAGAAAGAAAGAAAGAAAGAAAGAAAGAAAGAAAGAAGAAGAAGAACAGATAAGACAAAGAAGAAAAATTTGAAGGAGAAATACACTTAAAATTTAAAATACTCTTGACAAAATGTTTTTCAGAAACCAGACCAGGGGGCAAACATTGCACCCTACCATGAGTTTTGAGCTTGTCAGTCATCTTGTTGATCTTCCTCTCCAGCCGGGCGTATCTGGCGAACTCATCCATCATGCTGATGGTGGCCAGCTCCTGCTTCATGGTCTGGATTTCAGCTCTCATCTGGGATTCCTGCTCTGCATCCTTCTGCAGCAACCTGGATATCTAAGAAGTAAAGAAATAGTATCAGTTATTGATCCAGAATTCTGTTTGTTGTCTTTAATGTGTATAAAGTTTGATCTCAAAAGCCTCCCATAAGAGAGGCCCTCTCTGCTTTTCCTTTCCTAATTTCTTTTGATGAGGCACCACCTTCTTGTTGGTTCATGAACTCTTTTTTCCACTGAAATGAAGATAGAAAGGATACAAAACGTTTCCCTTGCTGTTTCTTAGGGAATCTTCCCAGTTTTCCCGAGTCAAGCGCAATCTGTTCCCTGCAGATGCCATTCCCAGGACTGCAGCCAGTGAGGACTTTAGGGCCACTTTGAGTCACAAACCACAGCAGAAAGCTGAGCAGAGATTTTCATAGACTCGTGGAATATCCTGAGTTGGGAGGCACCCACAAGGATCATCCAGTCCCAGCCCTGGCCCTGCCCAGGACACCCCAACACTCCCCCCTGTCCCTCAGAGCGTTGCCCAAACGCTCCTGGAGCTCTGGCAGCCTTGGGGCCGTGCCCACTGCCCTGGGGAGCCTGGGCAGTGCCAACCACCCTCTGGGGGAAGAACCTTGTGCTGAGCTCCAACCTGAGCCTGGCCTGGCACAGCTCCAGCCCTTCCCTGGCTGCTGTCCCTGCTCCCAGCGAGCAGAGATGGGAGCTGCCCCTCCAGTGCCCCTTGTGAGGAGCTGCAGAGCTGGATGAGCTCCGACCTCGGTCTCCTCTGCTCCAGCTGGACAAACCAAGTGACCTCAGCCACTCCTCCTATGGCTGTTTCATCAGTCATCTCCAGGAACACCGAGTTCAGCCTCCCAAACTGCTGGGAGTAATCCAAGTTTTAAAGGCTTTTTGTCCATTATCAGTGTACACTGATCCCTGTGACAGTGGAGCTATTGATGTGAACGAGCAGAACGACGGCGATTTCAGTTTCTGTGTTCACGTGTGAGCTTCTCTGGCAGTCCCAGAGTTGATTTGTTCTTAATTCCATTATCCACACTTCCACAGGAATGCTTCAGATCAGACTGAGTATCCTAGTTAGGGATTGAGACTTAAGGTTTATTCCTACAATGCCTCAACTCCTTAATCTCCGTATCCACTGATCTCCCTTCTCAACAATGGGAATGTCCATCTGTTCAAAACACGGAAGACTGAGCAAAGCTGCCTTTTATACTCCCCGAAAATTGAGGAATCGTGGCTGCTCCTGGATCCCTGGAAGTGTCCAAGGCCAGGCTGGACGGGGCTTGGAGCAATGTGGGACAGTGGAAGGTTCTCTCCCCATGGTAGGGGGGTGGAAATGGATGATCTTTAAGGTCCCTCCCAACCCAAAGCAGTCTGTGATTCCACGATACGTCCTCAGGGCTGGAGGCTCAGGAGCATCGTTTAGGACACGGATAACCCATCATCCAGAACTCCACTTCAAAGCCCGGCCTAACCAGGGTGCGGGAACCACCCGGCCAAGGCGCTGAATTTCAGCACTTCCAGCATCAGCTCTTCCTCTCCCAAGGCCCGGAGCAGGACCAGCCCCTGCCCGACAGAACCGGTGGTGCTTTAGGGGCACCGCTCCCACCCCATTCACCCCTTAGTTGGGGGGACCCCCACAACGCCCTGCCCAGCGGCCTCGGTCCCCCCAGCCGCCCCAGGGCCCGGTGCCCCCACCCTCGGCGGGTTCATCACTCACGATGGAGGAGCAGGAAGGCAGCAGGATCTTGAGCGCGTTGCAGAGGAACACGGCGCTGAGCACCAGCAGCCACGCACCGCCCTCCGCCATGGCCCGGCCCCGCCGGCGGCGGCACTGACGGCGCTCCGGGACCGCGATCGCGGCCGGGATTGGGGGTTAAGGTCAGGCTGGGGATCAGGATCGGGATCGGGACAGGGGTCGGGCGGGAGCGCCGGGGGAAACGCGCGGCCCCGTGACCGCCCTTATCCAATGGGCTCCCCGTGCGCGCTCCCGGGCAGGGGCGGAGCGCTCCCCCATCCCGCCCATCCCAGCCCGTCCCGCCGCTCCCCCCGCTCCAATCCGGCTGGATCCTGTTGCGGCGCCGCTGGCGCTGCTGGGATGGGGAGGGGGGGGGGAGGCGGTTTCCCTGCGCAGCCGGGCTGTGGCTCGCAGGCAGCCGCCGCAGCGCTCGCAGCAGCCGCCGGCCGGGAGCAGCCGCAGCTCCGGGAGCCTCGAGATGCCGAAGAGGAAGGTGAGGCCGAGCGGGGAGCGGCAGCCGCGGGGAAGAAGAGCGGCGGCCGCGCAGGGCCGGGAGGATGGGGCGGGGGGGGGTGGGGGGTGGACACGACGCGGCCGCCCCGCGGGCTCCGGTGCAGCGGGCGGTGGCGATGCCCGGCGCCTGCTCCTGGAGCGGGGCGGCCCCGCGGGCCGCGGAGGGGGCCGGAGGCGCCGGGAAGGGCCGGGGGGGCTCGGCGGGACGCGCGGTCCGGGAGCGGCGCGGGAAGGGGCGGTGAGCGGGAGGG